GCTATTGCAATCATGTTGTTGTTGCCATCTCTGCCAACTGCTGATAACAGTTGACCACCAAATGTAGACTTCAAAAAACTCCCATCAAGACCAATTATTGGTCGGCAGCCATTGAGAAACCCCTGCTTGCAGGTATGAAGGCAATAATACAATCTTTCAAATGTCCCATTTGTACCATCTGTAGGCATAACAAGCTTAAGTTTGACAGTGCTACCAGGATTTGTCTCTCGGATTGTTGCTACATAACTCCAAAAGTATTGATATTGCTCCATGTCTGTGCCAAACATGTCATTTTTTGCCTTTCTCTTAGCTCTGCATATCTTCACAATGGAAACATTAATCATAAGTTTTTTCTAATATCATTCTGAAACCCAATTAGGCTACACTTTGGATCACCTCTCATCTTGTCTTGGTATTTCATACTCAAATATTTGGCTGATGCATGCTTGTTGTTGTAACATCTAGCACAAACATGCTTACTCAATGATTTGATCTAAAAGGTAGTTTCACCTTGGATTGATGTTGCACGAATCCTCCATAAATAGCCCTTTGCACACTTGGCAATGATATTTTTCGAGTAGTTTTTTACCCAATTAATCTCATATCCCTCTCTGACCAATCATTCTACCAACACATCTAAACACTTCAAAATTGGAAAACTTATGCCCAACCTTCAACTCAAAATGTGGCTTTCTAAACTCTACCTCAGGGTTAAAGCCAAGGCATTCTTGTTGGGTTTCACCATCAGATCCACACTTGCCCAGCAACTCTTCATCTAAAACCATTGGTTCCTGCCAATTCTCTTCTTGCATACCTGAAGCTCCACCTTCTACTTTTGATTTTTCATCAAGATTTTCACCCTCAGTTGCGATGGAATTTGCTAGTATGCAAATTGAGATGGATTCTAAGATGGAATCTGAGATGAAATGTGACGTGGAATTTCTCCAATAGCATCAAGCCTTTCAGACAGCTTGCTTTTATTGGACTTCTTTTTCTTAGCACTTTCATTTATGGCAAGGCTTTTCACAGTTGGCTTTGCATGAAAAGAAAACACATGATAAGGTTGAAAATGCTTGGAATGTAAAGTGGATTTGCCTTCTGGTTTGTTGTATTTATCCACATCTTTCTTGGTTGCAAAAATATCCTCATGCTCTATTGTCTCCAACCCATCCTTCAGCCATTCAAGATCATCATCATTAGGAGTTGTTGTCTTTTTTGTTGCGGTGTTACTAACCCTATCATCAGTAGTAGTTGACTTCTTTTTAGCTGTTGTGATGTTATGTACCCCACCATTATTGATGTCAAAAACTTTATTTTTTGATGTTGAGGCAATATTTGTTGAATTCGGCTCTAGCACGGTGGGTAGTATTTATTGAATTCGGCTCCAGCACAATGTCCCCACCATGTTCTGGTGACTTACTGACTTTTCAAAAGGCTCATCCCCATTGCAAGTACAAATTATCCTTGTTGCCATTTCTCAATATGCTATTATTCATCAATTTAACATCATTGTTGTCCCTAATTGGATGTAGGCCACCATTTAAGTCAACTATTGGGGGCACAAAATCAAAAGGTCACTCTTGCATGCTTATCCAATTTTTTAAACATTCTGCAAAAGCTAATTATGGAGATTTGGTCTTCAACTCTGTCTATAAAGACGGCCATATGGCTTTTTGTGTAGTGGAGGGTAAGAAATTCTCTAAATCTCCGATCAAAATACATATGTATGTTTACTTTTTTTCTCAGAGCTGTCTTTTTCCGTGGAATACTTTTCTCTCAGAATCGTCTTCTTTTGTGGAATATTTCAAGTAATATAATAAACATGTTTTAGTACCCCAACTAATATGTCTTAGTCATTGAAACGCAGAATGCCAAATAAACAGAGAAGTACAAATTCAGTCAGTTTTAATAACAAGGGATTTTGGACCACTATCACCACTACTTCATATGACAGCTATAGGTATAGAAATTTAGAACTTCGACACACAACTCTTTATTAAATATCAACTTGTGACAATTATTTGAATCGTACTCAAATACGTATAGATCCTATGAGAAAGGGAACTTTCACAAATTATTTACATGATTCATAGTCAACATAAACAATCAACCATTAGCAGAGTCATGCTCAAACACAAACAAATCTTCCTAAAAATGGAATAAAATTAAGATAATATCAACTTTAAATCCATCATAACAGTACCCAAACTCACAAAATCATGACTTTTCTGTGGTCAACACCCAAAGATCTTATCTTATTTAAGTAAATAAATTTTTAGTTTTAAATATTGAAAATCAAATAAGCAAATCACAATTACTAACTCCAAACCCTAACTAACATAAACGAATTATGACATGCATATCTATTTGCTTTCAATTTTATGGAAGAAATTTTCGCCTTGTCATCTTTTTCTTCGCTCTTCTTGATTGATTCAGATCGTAAGTTGTTCTTTCACTTGATTTGTGCTCTCTCTCTCTAGAAAGTCTCTCTCTCTCTCTCTCTCTCTCTCTCTCTCTCTTCGTTAGTTTTGAAAGAATGAAACAAATGATTTTCTTCAACTGAATTTGCTTAGTTTTATCGAGCCATTTTTCTCATTTCATCCTTCCCATTAATTTTATCGAATTTCATTACCCTTACAATTTAGTTTAAAATATGAAATATCGTACTGTACATTTTGAAACTACTTGAGGCTTTTCTATATAAGGGGGAGGGGGTTTTACCCTTAAAGGTATTGCGTAAATAGGAGGAAAAATATAAGAAAAAAGAACATTATACTTGCATTTTATGACGTTTTCAAGGCTGATCTTTCACTTTCGCTTTCTTTGATGAGGAAATGTTTGGGATTTTGCTTTTCCTTACTGTTAACACAATAACTTCTTCATTAGTTTAGCTATTGGTCACTTGATGGGGCAGTGTAAACTATTTTGAAAATTGTTGGCATTTCAAGAATTGTCCTTAAGTATTTTGGGTTGTTATTATACTTTTTCCCCTTCTTTTATACTTTTATAGCTTGAAAATATTGTTCTGTATAAGCAATAAGCCTATTTTCTTTTTTCTTTTTTGGCCTACATCTACGCAAATTACAATAATGATACAAAAAGCAAACGATTGTGCAAATGAACTATTTAAGAAGAATCTTTGTTTTCTTATTGAAGAAAATTGATTAATTAATCATTATATGCTTTTGTTTAGTATGTTTAGATTAGAGAACTTAAACAAATTAATCATTATATGCTTTTGTTTAGTATATTTGTCCAATGTATAAAACATCTGTAATTTTTAATTTTTGCATATCCTCTTCAATGTTGCAAACTCCTTTTTGATAATTACACTCTTTGAAGAGATTACAAATTTTATCTACTAAATGAATATCATTTTTTTTGAGATTTAATTTGATTATATGTTAAACTAAAAAAATAACCTGTGCAAGTGCATGGGATAAAAACTACTTATAGTTGGTTATAAAATATTGAAGTTGTACCATATTGAACTTATTGCCTATGAAATTCCATTTGAATTTGAACCATCAACATAATTCCATTTGAATTATAAGGAAGAATTGAAATTGAATGACTGTACTTTCTTCTAAATAACCTATATTAATTCGCATTATTAGAAGACACTTGCCAGGGATCAAGATCAAAGCTATGAAATTTTTGAAATTGAAAATATATTTTCCATTATCAGTTAGTATACTAAGGAATATTTGTTTTTCCAAATTAGATTGAGGGGGATTGTGGATGATGTTATTCACACTCCTATTATGTTATATGCACTTTTAATATCCCGTTTTCATTTTGATGAGACCATATTATCCCTACCTTAATTATTTTTCCTTACTCACGAGCTAACTTTACTAGAGTTGGTCATCCAATTACGGTAGGATAAGAAGTTGGAGCAGGGATAATATGATTTTATCAAAATGAAAATGGAGTAATTGGAGTATAAATGACATAATAGGAGTGTAAATAACGTCACTCTGAGACTATTATACTACTTTTGATAGTATTTTCTGGTTTCTTTTGCCGTGGAAATTATGAAGTTTATGAAGTTGAAGGGCAATTGCCTGGTCAATGTATTGTTTTGAGTTTTGAGGTTTACTAAAGACAATATAAGATTTTTGTTGCCCTGCCTTGTGAGGGCTTAATTGGGTAAATGATTATTTTATGCCTTTTAAAGTAAAGAGTTGAGTAGTTTGTGTGGCTTTTGTCTAATTCCATAAAAAGTAACTATCATTACACTAAGACCATATTTGATAAAATTGAAGTTTGAAAATTAAAATTCAAAGTTTCTGAAATTTGAATACATTAAGTTATTGAATTATTAAATATTAAATTTGATATATTTGAGTGTATACTATATTAATTAATTTAGATGTTCTATTTTTAGTTTCAAACGCGTTTGAATATGTTAAGATCTGAATTTGTTAAATTTAAATGTTGAATTGGATTATCAAGTAGGGTCTAAATCGTAACTATAATTAACGTAATAACAACCTATAAATAACTTTTGAAGTTTAATAACAGACATGTTATAGTGGGCAAAAGTTTGCTAATGTGCTTAATATAATTCCCCAAAAAATTTTTAAAAAATTTATTCCCCAAAAAAAAAAGACAATTCCCCAAGAAAAAAAAATTCCATTTTCTATTTGTTTCAGCTCACCGCTTTGGATAATGAAATTATCCCAAATAATATTTCGTTTGCATCATAAATATATTTTTCAATCCACTTTTTTATAATTCTCAACCACTTTCTTATTTTACATATATCACATCGTAAAAAATGCTACAGTAATTATTCCAAATAATATTTCAAATAATACACTATCCAAACAAACCAATAGCAAAGCTTGGAATCCTATCAAGATCCCATTTTGTCCACGTTTTCTTTTCGCAGAGTCCCTCTTCTTATCCCTTATTTTCTCAACCACTTACTTATCCCTTTCTCACATCCTACTCAGCATTTATGTATATAAATAAATATTCATAAATACGTGGCCGACCTTCTCTCCTCGTGCTCCTTTGCGTCCACGTTTATTTTGCTTTATTATGTTACCAAATCTTCCTTTACAAATGTCATCGCTTTCCTATACATTTTATCTTCTCATTCGAACCTTTTCTTTAAATCACGAAAGGAAAGAACCCATTTCTTGAAGTCCATTGATTTTGAGTATATTCGTCTCAATTTTCATCTTCACAATGGAAGAAGCCAATGGTAAGCCACAGAATAGGCAATGAGATAAATTTCTTGGATTGATTGGTGGAATTACTGATGTTTTCGGGATTATGTTTGATTGGTTGTTTGGAGTTTGATGTAGCGAATGAACTGATGATTTAGTTGGTTCTATGAATATTAATGATACTTCTGTTTGTCGGTGCCATAATTGTCTGCAAGAATCTTGGATCTTATGTGCGAATTCCAGCACCGACGAAAAGTCAATTGGGGTCACTTCATTTTTTTTTAAGTTGGCCGTTTTTCTATCATGGTTTACTAAGAGACTGTCGAAAACTCGACACGATCATTGGCTTTTACTATCTTGCTTATGCTTTGCGATTTATCTGAATTTCTGATTGCTACCTGAAGTTTATTGACTTCAGTTTGTTCTTTGGAATTTTGGTCATTGTCACTTTCAGTTGTTGAGGCAAAGGATGGAACTATTTCTGTTGCTTCTGCATTTGCTGGCCATCAGGAAGGTAATAACATTGGCTCGTTTACTTTGATAACGTCCAAAATCAAGTCAATCTTTTTAGTACCAAAAGGTGTTTTTGATATAGATCTGTAGGTTGAGGCCATTGGAATATGGTAAAGAAACAGTTAAACAGGTTCTTCTTTTTTTTTTTTCTTTTTTTCCCTTGTATAGATATATCTCGTAATGTGATTTTGAAACTTTCAAGCTGTATCAGCTTTTCCTCTTCAATTTTTCAGCCATTATCCTGAATTAGTGCTTCTGGTCTCTTTTTGCTATTCTCTATGGTATCAGTTAATAGTGTGTCCGCTGCTTAAGCTCGAGCATTGTTTTGATAGGATTCAGGTCTTTACTTGCAAACTCCCCCTTTGAAATTTGTATCCAATAGTTCACCAACCAGCTATTTGATAGGCTCAGTTCTGAACCAGTTTTAATTTTGTATCAGTTGTTTCTCCTTCTTTGTAGAAGTTTTGATATTGAACATTCATGATCTTTTCTTGTATAAACAAATGAGACGTTGGCTGTACATTGCTTATCCCAATTTCTCAGAAAATTGAAATAAATATGTTTGAACTAGTTCTCATTATTGAGGTAAGCAGATTTAACTACAACACCATCATCCAAAACCTTTCAGAAGCATTCAACATTTAAGCTGCTTGAGATCTGTAATATGTTGCTTGAGTTTTCTATGTTGATATAACTTAGTGATTTGGATATCTTTGGAAACTTTTTCCTGAAATGTGTTCAGAAGCTGATCTGGATATGTAGGTTCAAGTGTTTTTAGTTAAAGATAAGTCTGAGCATCTTCTGACCATATTTAAGTTCCTTGAAGGGAAAAGAAAACATAGAATAGCATTAACACTGGATTCTTAATTTGATTACAAGGTGAATCTGTTGTGATTAAATAGGTTGACCCAGGCCGTGGAAGTGAAAACTGAACCTTGCCTTGTCAGTTTGCAATTCACATTTTCTTACAGATAATGCTACTCTAGTGAAGTTCAACCTTAATTAATTTTGACACTAACCTGTAAGACTAGTTCTGAGTTCATTCCAGACCACTTCGTAACTCCTATTCCTCCTGTTCTTGTTGAGCCATCTCTGATAACAAACTACAGATTTAATTGATCGTTATCTTTTCCATGTACATTTATTGGTGACATGGTCAAATTCCATTTGAATCTACTAAGGTAGCCTAGATTTTGATTTCGAAACATGACTGTTATAGTAGCTGGTGGGTAGGCTAGCTTCATGATGGGTATGTTATTTCTGATCAGCTGTACAGGATAGAGACCATAAATTCTTAACAAGAGCAGTGGAAGAAGCTTATAAAGGGGTAGAGTGTGGACATGGCGGACCATTTGGTGCAGTAGTTGTTCGCAACGATGAAATTGTTGTGCGCTGTCACAACATGGTTTTAGAAGGCATGGACCCTACTGCACATGCAGAGGTCACAGCAATCAGAGAGGTTAGATATAATTTCTGTGACATTTATCTTTGCTTTTGTACTCTTCCAATTCATTGAAGCACGAATGATCTCCCCAAGAAACAATCACCTAACGTTGAGACAGGTGGAATTATTGCAGGAAGCAACCACAGCAGCATAAACTACAATCACACTACTTAATGCATTTCCTCTTTTTAATGCAACACACCTCTCTCTCCCTCTTTTTCAATCACTCACTCATGCCTCTAATTCTATTTCTTGATAAATAAAGAGAAGAAAAAGGGAATCAATTTTTAGCTAATTAAATTTTTCTCCAATGCAGTATACTTATAAGTCTCGATTTTAATTCAATAAAGAATAGGTAGAATGTTACTTTTGATCCTCTTATATGAAAAAAAACTAAGATAATTGAAGAAAAAAATGTGTGAAGTATGCATAAGACTTGGCTAGAAGCCTCATTGAAACATAAATTTGTATACATGTATGATGGTGTGTGACTATGTGGATGTGTTCCTAGTCCTCTAATGGTGGTGGATGATGGAGGCCCACCGCATGCACCATTTCTACTCGGGAAGCAGCAAAATGTGAAACAATTTGGCAAGGTTGCCAACCCCATGCACCACTTCCAAATTCTCACCAAAATGCCTTTTCTCTTAACGTCCTCCTTCTACTGTATGACACCTATTAATTGAAAAAATAACCAAATCCCAGACAAGACAAGTTAGTCGCCGCATCCAAAATTTTAAAAACTTTCATGGTCGCAGCATGCAGCGATGTTAGGTCTCTGCAGTCGCCTCATGCAACTTTAAAAAAATTTGCTTAAGTTTAAAAACCTACTGTTGATCACATTTGATCAATGGTCAATCATATTTCGTCGCATCCATTTTGAATGCGGCGTTCTGACACTTCCAAAATTTTTTCTACGCCGATTTGTTATTTGCAGCATTCACAATTCAAAAAAAAAAATTTTTTTGTGCAACTTTAAGAACCAACCACTGATCAAATTTGATCAACGGTCAATCATGTCTCGCCGCATCCATTTTCGGATGCTGCATTTTGACAGACTGGAAGCATTTTTTTTTTAAAAAATTGTTAAGCTGCATTCTAGCATAAAAGAAAAAAGGCAAAAACAAATTTGATATCTATTACATTTTCATGCATATTTTTATTTTTAGAATATTTTCTCATTTGCATGATATTTCTTATTATATTATCACATATCCTCTGTATGTGTTAATCATATCATTTAGAATTGCATCACATTTAAACTAGTTCATTTGCTTGTCTATGTTAGGAGAATTATTCTTCAAACATGGGAAATGGGTGATTATAACTTTTTAGTTTAAATACTCCATTAATCCCTGTATAAGAAAATTATGTCACGAGTTTTTGCCTCCCGTACCCATTATACTGCATCCCTATTCTTTGACCATTTATATCTAATTATATAATTTAAGTTTCTTTTCTTTTCTTCAAATTTCATCCATGCATGCTCATGACCCCTTCAAGGAATTATTTTGATTTTCGCAATTCATGCGATTGGTATCAATTAAACCCTTGAATGGATATTTTGTCCTTTTTGGATATTTTATAAATTTAGATTTGCATCCATGTAGGAAACATCCAAACGTGATAAAATTAAGGGTTAAATTAGAAAAATTTTGACTAAACCTCGCAACTAGTTTAGACTAGGTTGAAAGAGTACCTTAGGTTTGAGTTAATCAAACCTTTGCCTTCTCTTTCTTTAACCGTGACTCCCGAACTTATTTTCTCTTGTTTTTCAAAGACCTGGAATTGTCGAAAAGGATTTTATTTTTGTCTAAAAACACTTTTGAGTGACTTGGTACACCAAAACTCAATACCAAGTGACGACTCCTATTTTTCTTAAGAACCGTTTTAGATAAATTTTGGATCCAAACTGTCGCATTCTTTAAAGTTCTATTTTAGATTCTTTTCACTTATTTTTAGATAAAAATCATATCTTTTGTAAATACCTTTTTTTTTTCCATCGCAAAAAATTTGACACGACAAATGCAATAGTGCCACGTGTAATATGTACGCAGTATCAGAATAAAAATACGTCAACCCATTTCATCTTGAAATCCAATGCGTACAAATATTTATGTTTACTTAGAATCTAGATAGAAATTTTTACCTAACTTTTTAAGATTTTTTTATCATGTACTCCCTCCGTCCCATTGAAACTGTCATGCTTTCCATTTTGGTCTATCCCAAAATGTTTGTCACATACCTAAAATGGCAAATGAACTTTTCTCCTTCTTCTAATTTTACCCTTCTGACACTACCTTTAAATATGTGGGTCCAGCATAAATTGTCAAAAGAACAAGACACGCTTTGAAGTGCGTGGCTGATGCTAGCCAATGTTTACTAGCGCGTGCAGTGCAAAATAAGCAAAAAGTTAGTGTAGCTTTAATAATGTTGTGGGCCCAAAGTGTTGACTAGTTTACATAAACCATTTGAATAACTTCATCCGCACCACTATAGTCAAAATTTGGACAGCTTGGCGGGGATAATTTGGGAATTACAGACAGCTATCTCTTATTCTTGTCTACTATTGAAAAATATTCCAATTCCCGAAAAGTTTGTCACTTTTCGGGACGGAGGGAGTAACATTCATTATTCTTGGGATTTCAATGCTTCTCTGTTGGTTTTGGTTTACTAATTTGATGAATGTAGATATTCTTCACTTCTTCACTAATATACTTATTTTCCTTTATAATATGGATTATTGTCATTTTTTGATTTCATATGTAGGACTTCAAAAGTAGCATATATTCTACTTTTGATTTAGCCAAGAGGATTTGATTTGAACAAGTAACCTTTCAATTAGTTAAATACATTGTCCATGAGAATTTTTTTTTCTTTCTGTATAGGGAATGTTAATTTATTGTTATAAATTTCTTTGTTGCAATTGCTTCACATCACATAGAAACCTCGTTGCACATTTGCGAACATGGTCATGTTAGTGCTTGATGGAATTTTTTGTGCTAATTTTTTTTTTGTTTTCACCTTGTGGGATATTCATGTCACAGTACATTCATACCTTTTTTCTTTTTTTTTTTTATATTTTTTTGGTAGTAAGAAGAATTTGATTCCTAAGATTAAAGGTAGAGTAAAAAATAAAAAAACTCCATGGGGTTAAACTAATACACAAAAAGCCCCTCATAGTTTTAAAACGTACAAAATGGTACCCATATTTTAAACTAAATTGTAAAGGTGACGATATCCTGTAAAATTAATAGAAATGACATAGTGGAACCTAAAAACAAATTTTTTATACCAAATTTTTAGCAAATATTTCCATTCTACTCCTTAGCACCCAATAAAATTCCCAGCGAAGTCAAAATCCGACATTTGTGTAGAGAAATCCAAGTAGCTTCTTGAATGAGTGAAATCCGACTAGCCTTTTGGATAGATCAAATTACCACCCAATTAAAGAGGAAGACAATGCTTCTTGAGGGATAAAGTAAACCACTGAATTGCTACACAATCTTGGCCAAGGTAAAAAGTTTTAATTTTGCATTTTTGCTAACAAACTGTTCTTATTAGGGTTTAAACTAAGAATATTGGAAATAAAATTGGGCTTCTATCTACTGATGAAGGGAAACTGTACTAGGAAAAAATTTGCTCGTGTCTTCCTCAACCTCTTGAGGAGGTAGCGGAGCTAGGGATCTACGATACCAATACAAGATTTGTGAGTGTCGAAGAAAGGCAAAGGTGAAAATTGTCGAGTCCTCGGAGCCATCGAAAGGGATGTTGTATTTTGTGTGTGAATGGGATGAATGTGACTTTTGGTCATGGTGTTATCCTATTTATAGAGATGAACAGACTAGGGAAAACTCTATTGGGAGGCCAACTATTGAAGAACATTTGCCGTGCATGACATTGAATAATGAAGTCAAGAACTTAAAAGCACTAGTTAGCTATTGTCTAATGGTATCTGTTTTTTCGCTTTTGCTTCTGATGATGATGATCAGATGATGTCTATAAAATAAGACAATGGTTTTCTTATGAATGAAAATGAAGCAAGTTGGTGGTTTGTTTTGTCCATGAAAATGTGTATCTTAATGTTTTGGTTTTTTGGAAATGGCCTGCCAAAAACATATGTATCTTAACAAGCAATTGAAAAGGTAATCTATATCAAGATCTAAGCAAAAACACTTACAACAACTAAATCCACCACCATTGTGGAATATATTTGGAGCCCTTAATCATATTTGTCTATTAAAATAGTCAATAAGTAGGCAAAAGTTTCCTATCAACTATAACGTTTCCAAGTAAAGATGACAAAAGCTTCCCAGGAAGCATAAACAAGCCTTAAAAACTATCCAAAAGTTTTGGCATGAAAGCACAAGCTGCCTCAAAAAACTACACAAAAGTTTTTTAACAAATAAAAAGTGTGTCCTAAACACAACCATAAAGCTTCTATGCTAAGTGAACTACAACTATTCAGATCTTGCTTTCTTGGCCCTTAGGTTGTATAAAACATCAGAAATAGTAGGAAATCAGGCGCTTTTTGCTGGTGTAGTTGTGTCAGCAACCTTGTTACATCCTTTCTTACTACCACCCACAGGCTACAATTAAAGAGGAAAACAAGAAAACAAGCTAAGATGCTGAATGAAAGATGCATCTATAATTTAGAAATCCAATGCACGTAATTGAACTGAGATACAGATTGTCTGCCAAGCATAGTTTTTGCCACACTCGCAATTGTTGGCTGTGTATACTATTTTTTAGACCTACAGCTTGTTTTCTGAACTGGTTTAGTAGTGCTAGTTCCCTCTTCTTGATGGACAACTAGTTATAGGGGCACTATTGCTGAGGAAAAAAAATGAATCAATTGCTAAATTTGATTCAACTTTATTGGGTCTTATCATCCCATGTAGGAATACATAGCCAACTAAACTTTATATTTTTGGCAATCTTTTCTGCAATGTTAGGACAAATTTTTCCTTGAAATTTTTGCATTCCAGACTTCTTAACTTGAATTCTTTGCATCAGCCTTCTTCGGATCCACTCAAGCATCCCTATGATAGTAGCTTTCTTGCTTCTAAAATTTAGTTATGAATGACTCGCATAGGTTATTCACCAGAATATCATATTTGCCACTTTGTCTAAAATGTGACTGGCTCCATAAAGTTGCGGGGCTTTTTGCAGCCATTCAACTACATCCTTGCGAGATCTTTCAAGGGTATTCATTGCCGATTTCCAGTCCATTTCATTCCAAACACTTGCAGTTGCCCAGAACAAGTCTTTCAGCTCCTTTTCTTTGAACTTTTGCTTGAAATTTTGGTACCTTTGCCTCAAGCAGAACTTGTGTTCAAAATTTGACAATAATTCGTTCACTACATGGACCAACCCTTTCTGTATATCTGAGAAGAATGTCTAAGGCATGTTTTCCATACCCAATCCGAGATCAACCATTAGTAGTTCCAAGAATTACTTCCATGAGTCATACCTCTCTACTTCTACCACTGCTATTGCTATTGCAATCATGTTGTTGTTGCCATCTCTGCCAACTGCTGATAACAGTTGACCACCAAATGTAGACTTCAAAAAACTCCCATCAAGACCAATTATTGGTCGGCAGCCATTGAGAAACCCCTGCTTGCAGGTATGAAGGCAATAATACAATCTTTCAAATGTCCCATTTGTACCATCTGTAGGCATAACAAGCTTAAGTTTGACAGTGCTACCAGGATTTGTCTCTCGGATTGTTGCTACATAACTCCAAAAGTATTGATATTGCTCCATGTCTGTGCCAAACATGTCATTTTTTGCCTTTCTCTTAGCTCTGCATATCTTCACAATGGAAACATTAATCATAAGTTTTTTCTAATATCATTCTGAAACCCAATTAGGCTACACTTTGGATCACCTCTCATCTTGTCTTGGTATTTCATACTCAAATATTTGGCTGATGCATGCTTGTTGTTGTAACATCTAGCACAAACATGCTTACTCAATGATTTGATCTAAAAGGTAGTTTCACCTTGGATTGATGTTGCACGAATCCTCCATAAATAGCCCTTTGCACACTTGGCAATGATATTTTT